TGAACATTGGGAACTATTAATTCAGCGCTGTGCTCTCTCTCCTAGTCGTGTTATAATGTTTCATATTATCCCACATATTTCTGATGCTCTGTTCTTATTTTTCACTTTTTTCTCTGTGTGAATCAGTTTAAACAATTTATAATGAACTGTCTTTGAGTTCATTATTCCTTCTTTTGCTCTGTCCCGTCTGCTTCTCATACCATCCAATGTTTTTTATTTTTTTACTTTAGACTTTGTACTTCATTGCTAGGATTTACATTTTGTTCTTTCAGTTTCTTTTCTGTAATTCTCCATTTTTTTCACTTGTTTTATCCACTTTTCCTCCTAATTATGTAACACTTTATAGTAATATTTTAAAGTTCTTTTTACTCATTCCAGCATGTGAATCATCTGTGAATTTCATTCTTTTGCTTGTTTTTTCTCTTCATTTTTCTACTCCTTTGCATGTCTTTAATTTTTTAATTGCATCTTAGACATTCTGTATTCAAGAGTGGTATAGAGACTAAAGTAGTTAATACTTTCTTTCTGAAAGGTCTGGCCTTTTCCTTTGTCATGAGCAAGGATAAGAGACTGATCTCTTTTGTCTAGTCAGGAATTTTGCTAAGTTGGAGCTCAATTGTTGCTTGAGTTAGTTTCAGTTCATTGACTTTAAAGAATAGTATTTTTTTTTTAGTTTATCTGTATTTTTATTGTTACTGTGGGAGCAGCCTTTTACATTTTAATCTGAAGAGAATTGGTCACTAATTTTTTTTAACTTAAATATTGTACTATGAAAGTGTTGTCTCTATGATACCAGTTATTCCAAATTTTAGTTACTCATTCTATGAACTATAATGTCACTTTTTGTAAATATTCCTCATGTGCTTTGAAGCACATGTTTTCTGAAATTGTTTCAGGGGTTCATTTATGTTCTTTTCATTTAATTTGTTAATTAGATGTTTGCATCTTCCATTTAAAAATTTTCTATTAAAAAATTTCAAAATAAAAACTTATCCAGTGTAGAGAGAGGTATATTAATTTACTAATATGATCATGAATTTTAAAATCTTTCTAGTACTGTCAATTTTCTGGTTCATAACCTACATCATGTTCAGTGCAAAGAATTGGCAACTACCTGACTTATAAAAAAGATTTGTTGTCTAGTCTTTATTTAGAGTAAGTCCCTTTTAAACCAGCAGTACGGTCTTGCATTGCTTAATGATGGGAAGATGTTCTGAGAAATGTGTTGTTAGGCCATTTTGTTGTTGTGTGAACATCCTAGAGTGTACTTGTACAAACCTAGATGATATAGCCTACTACACACCTAGGCTATATGATACTAATCTTAGGGGCCCCCCATCATATGTGTGATCTCTAATTGACTGAAATGTTGTTATGTGGCACATGATTGTATTTTATATTGCCTTATTTTGTTGTTCCAGAGACTTGCATACCCCAGGGCCATTTATTAAGGTAAATTTCTGGATGGGTCAAAGATATGCCCCTTCTTCCCCTCCTTTTTAAACCTCTTTAAAGAATGAAAAGAGAAATTTTGAAAGAAGATGTTGGAATTGAGAACTGGAGTGATGTCTGGTGAGCAGATCAATTTTAGAAAAGATAAATATTGAAGATGGAGGATTTGGGAATTCCCTTAAAACCCTGTGTCCATATATTCTTTGGAAGATCTACATGCATTCTCAGGTGTATTGGTACCCTAGTTTGAAGGCTTTGGTAGTCGGTCATACTACCAGAAGTACATATCCTTTAGAATTATTTTGACAGTAGATTTAAGGAAAAGAATATAGAGAAAAATTATCACCTAAATGACATTTTCTTAAGATCTAGCAAAATGACTCTTGTTTGTGAAATGTTACCTGCTTATTTTATAGATAGGGAATCTGAAGCCAAGTCGGGGAAGCACTCATAGAGTTCTACACGGTTTTTAGGTTAGAAAATCTAGGTTAGAATGTAGAATCCTAGAACTCTTTCACTTCCTGTCACACCTGGAAAGTCTTCCCTCCCCTCCCCTCTCCCTCTCTTGCTTTTCCTTCTCCTTTTTCTCCCTTAAAAAAAAAATCCAAGTAATGAATACTCCTAATTTACAAAGTCAAACAATATTACAAGGTTTCTAGCAAAAATCAGTAGTCCTCAGTTCCATTACTCCCTATCCCTTATATCAGCTCCTTAGGAGCAATCTTTTCAACTTTTAATTGTTTTTATTTACTTCTATATTTCTAGATAACATGCCTATTTTGTTCTCTTTGGAAAGTCTTATGGAAGGAAATACTTATTTCCTCAAAATGCCAGTTGCCGTCCTGTTGAGAAACTACTATAGAGTTAACTGTACTTGGGAAGATGAACTCATGGCAACTAAACTCCTAAGGGCCAGGTTATTCATTTTTAGTGAAGTATATAAAGCTCAGCTAGACCAGCTGTTTTCGTAGGTCTGACCAGTGCATTTTCACCCTGTTGGAAAGTTATCTAGAATGCCAAATATCAGAAGGATACTAAACCATGGAATTGAACAAGAAGACTTAATTATACAGTTTATGTGTTTAGTTCTATTGGACTCAGATCAAGCAGTTGATTGATGATTTTCATAATAGGAGTAATCTTATCTGATCTTTAGTATAAAAAATTAATTGCACAAAGGAATAGGAAAATATAGAAAACCAATGTTTTGTAAAGATTTGGAGCATATTCCATTTTAGATGACCGACATGCTCTCTTTTGAGATAATTGACTGAACCAGATGGGGCAGATGTGACAAAACTTGCAATATTGCAAAAAGCACTGAGAGTGGAGAATAAGATTCTAAATATGTTTCTTTTTTTTTTCCCCCTAAATATGTTTCTTTTCTCTCTTTTTCTTACTCCAGTTTCCTCATCTAGAAATGAGATAATTGGGATAAATGATCATTATACCTTTTATGGATGCTTTGACAATTGTAAGAAATGTTTAGAGAATTAACTTCTTGGACTTCTATTTTTAGTAGTGGGTTAAATGACTTTAGGGGATTACTTTCATGTCCAATTTCTGAGACTGTTGTAACAGAACTTTATATGGCTAGACATTATTTTGATATAATTGGCTGTACTCTTCCCATTTTTAAGCATTCTCTTTTTTACTCCTCCACTTTTTTTTATATAATTTTCTTTCATATTTACATATGAAATTATAGTTTCATAAATTTGCCGTTTCTCTCCTTTCTTGAAGTTATTCCTTTAAAGAATATTAAATTGCAAAAGAAGGTGCTATTTGCTGAATTCCTCGTGTACTTAGTTGGTCCCAGTTTTGCTTTGAACTTGTGGCTTTGGGAGGCTTTTCCCCTTCCTTTCTATAAATCAGTTGCATTCTCACCCTATTTACATGTCCTAGTTAATAGACTGAAATGAAGTATTCAGACTTACTGTTTTGAAGATAGCTTGCACAATTCCTTTGCAAATGAACTATGTTATTTATTAACAGTCTTGGCTGTGTATATTCCTTTTTATATAAATATGTGGTCTTTGCTCTCTAGCCAAATAATCTGTAGACAGTTATAGATAATTAATGTGAAGAAGTCCCAAGAAAGATGCAGACGATCCTGGGATACTTTGTCATCATTGTTGGGATTCAGAGCCCCTGTGAATTTGTTCTGTGTGATAGTTTAACTTAAGTGTGTCTAAGGTCCAATCCAGTTTGTTATGCAAGAAACAATTTCACTTTTAAATGTTTGTGATACTGTGTTTTACAAATTTATTCAGTTGTGAAACATTAATTCAATTGTGTTTGTTAATTGGAATATCCTGCTGTGATTGTCAGTTCATATTTGTCTTCCCTTGTCTTTATTTGTCTTGACTTAAACATTTCTTTGATCTGTTTTGCCTCTTATCCTTTAAAATGCGAAGATTCCCTTCTTCTCCCCAAAGGGGAGACTCCAGGAGTGGGTGTGAGGTGGCCATACTTTTTGGAGTATGTGTAATATCTTAGTGATTCCTCAGATGTTGACAGGCTTATTCTTGCCGTCTGGGGACTTGTTAAACATATAGATTCCTGGAATCTTTTCTAGAGTAACAAAATCAGATAAAATCTGTCTGAGTGTCATTTTAACAAATGCCTCAGATAATTCTGTTGCATAGCCAGGTAAATGAAAATTTTATTAATCTTTCTTATTTATTTATTTTTGTTTGTTTTGGAAGTGCTCCACTGGGCTTTTTTAATTCTTCTTTTCAAATATATATTAAAAAAATAGAATTATATTTATTCATAAGCTATCTCTTATTCCATTTTTAGCTTTTGGTATTTTTTTTACATATATTTATCAGATTCATCTGGAATTTCTTGGTTCTTTTTGTAAATTTTAACAGTAAAAGATATATATTTATAATTTTATTTTTTGATACCCAGAAAATGTCAAGCTTACATTATCATTTATCTCTTACATCATTGTTTCAGTTACAAATTTGGGTTATTTACCTCTTCCTGCACTTGATTATATTAAAATTTTTGTTTTTGAATGTTTGATTTGACTGAAATCTTCTATAGAAATACATTAATTCTCACATCTGTGTGAGTAATAACTAGAAATAGTAAATCTGACTTCTGAAAAGTATGGATTTCTTCCCATTTATTATGCTTCTTACTCCCCTGCAAATGAAATTCTTATAGGGCAAGTGATTTTAGTGTCTAGAAACTATATTGGTTTCACTGTGATTTTTGTCTTGATGTCTTATTAGTTTGACTGAAGAAGAAAAGTCTAGGACAGGTAACGGAATTGCCATTTCCCATAAATAGTTTTTTTCAGCATGGTAGATGAGGAATGTAATTTAAAACACCTGTTTCTTAAAATTTGTTTTAGTTAATTTTGGGGAAAATGCCTTTTAAAAATGCCAATTAGTGAACGGGAAAACTGATTAAATAGAAGTATAGACTAAAATGGATGCATAAAGTTGCTTCAAACTGATTATACTGTGGTATTAAAGAAAACTTTGAACTCATAGTTATATTTTTAAAAGAACAATTATAATTTTCTATTATAGGAATCACATGCAGCCCAACTACAGATCCTTATGGAATTCCTCAAGGTTGCAAGAAGAAATAAGAGAGAGGTATATTATTTTGTGTGTTTTACATAATGTTTCATTTACTATTGTTGACTATTCCCGTTTTCCCTCCATTTTTGTAAAGGCATTTCAGTCTAAAAAATTTATTTAAACATTTAAAAAGATTTGAGTTTTCAGGAGTTTTTCTTAAGCTTTGTTATTTTAACTTCTTTTACCTTTACAACTGTATACTTTAAAGATCCCTTTTTGGAGATGTGCTGAAAAGTTTTCTATAAGATTGAATACAATGACTTACCTCAAAGCTATAAAGAATAGAAAATAGGATTATCAAATGACAGCCTACCCTTTGCCCTAAATTTTAGGAAAATTTACATAATAAAGCCTTAACTATAGAGGGTTACAACTTTTCTTATGATAAAAATGCATGCTGGGGAAAAACAAGTGAAAACATAGCTACCTCTTTGGAATTTGGAAAGTGTAAGTCATGCAGGATAGCTAAAAGATAGTTTTTTGTTAACATTTTATTACCAGAGTGTTCTAATTTAACATTTATAAAATTCATCCGTCATTTCACACTTGTACAAAATATGGGAAAATCAAAGGCAAAATTCTGTGCTCTGGGTAAGCATGCTAAAATAACTTTGAAAACTGTTTTATATTTAAACTCCTAACTGTCTCAAATCTCTTATATTTTTACTTTGAGTTGTCTAATTAGGATATTTTTCACTTATCAAAAAAATACATATAACCATCTATTATGTGCTAGGTTCTATCTTTATTATTTTTGAAAAAAAAAGATGAGAGTTTTTATTTGATGAAGTACTTTAAGTGCATCGCCAGAACCTTACATTATCTTAGTTTTATATTTCCCCTTTTTCTTATTGTTCATGATGTCTATTTTTAACTTTTTCTTACTTCATTCAGGTTAGATTTTTCTGTATTATGCTAGTGTTGATAGTTAAATATTCTTTTTTTTTATTATTAGTATTTTTTTTTTGTGATCAGCCCTGAGCTAACATCTGCCAGTCCTTCTCTTTTTGCTGAGGAAGGTTGGCTCTGGGCTAGCATCCATGCCCATCTTCCTCTACTTTATACGGGACGCCGCCACAGCATGGCTTGACAAGCGGTATGTTGGTGCGTGCCCGGGATCCGAACCCTGGGCTGCCGCAGAGGAGCACACGCACTTAACTGCTGTGCCACTGGGCTGGCCCCAGATAGTTAAATATTCTTTACGTGGTTTAATGACTGTATTTTTCTTATCCTTAACTTTTGCTGAGTTAGCAGTTGTGATTTTAATGTCTATTAAAAACATTATCTTCATCATAAATTTAAGACTTATTTGTTCATTTTTGGGGGTGGGTACTTCTTAAGCATCAATATGCATGGGAATCACCTGAGGGTCTTGTTAGACTCCGAGTCTGACTAAGGGGGTATGTGTTGGAGCCTGATAATCTACATTTCTAGCAAGCTCCGGGTGATGTTGCTCTTGGTCCTTGGAGCACGCTTTGAGTAGCAAAATTGAAAATTTTATAATGTATGGAAATAAAATTATTAATTCAATATGTACACTCAACATTTTTTGCTATAGAAAATTCTTTGGAAAAGTGATAATTTTTCATATTCCATATATACCCTCCCACCTTTTAAAGCAGAATGTGTAATTGTTTCGCAGTAGTTTTACATGTTTCTTTCTGCTTTAGACTTTGAACTCATTGAGAGTGAGATTCAAGACATAGGAAATTACTTAATAATGAACGAATAAAGGCATCAATTGAGTGAACAGTCTAAACATGAGGCTATCTGGGAGTTAAATGTAATGGCTGGTCATTATCTGTGTCCTGAGTTATTTAAGGTTTTCATTAGCACCTGAGGTTTTTTGGTGCTTCTCTAGGGGTCTGTTAATGCTTGCAACAAATTGTTAGATTTGAAATTGTCTCAGGTAATAAGGATGCAGCATATAACTGTAAAAAACAAAACAAAACAAAACACCAAACTGTGAAGGTTCTGAGATTTTTACCCTATTAGCAAGCTAACAAGTTAGCCTGCCACAGTTTCATAGATGCTGGCAGAAGACATGAGACTCCTGGGTTGGAGATAAAGGACTTTTATTACTCACAGCACATCTAGCAGCATCATCTTCATATTTGCATCACTTCTGACGCCCCTGACACCCAGGGGCTGTGTAGAGATGGGCCCATGTGGATTCTGCACGTGCCATAGATGTATGTTACAACTATGGAACCCTGAGCTTAGGAAACCCCAATCTTTTAAAGCGGTCTGCTAGCAAGCCTGTCCAGTCTTTGCCCTGCAGGGAGACACTATTATATTGATCAGAAAACAAATCTGTCCTTTGTCCTGGAGGAAGTCAATATTTCTGTCTTGCCAGGATGTTCGCTATACAAACATCCTTGAAAAGATAATTTGAAACAAAAGCTATCACAAGATGTGCAGAAATGAGAGTGATCAGTGGAGAACTGTTTCCCAACGATAGCCCTTTCTTGTGATCCTAATTTGTCCTTTCTCTGATGTGGTGGCGCGTGGCCTTCAGTAATACCTTCTATGTTGTTGCCTTTGATCTCATAGCTCTTAGGATCAGTATTTCTATATTTTTGTTATTAAACATAGGGGTTCATTGTGCTGTAGAATTTTTCAGCTTGACTTTAGTGGGAATCTAATATGATTCTTGTCAATGATTGATTTTTTTTTCCCCATTAGACCATATTTTTTTTATGGTGGACAGTTTATCCAAGAAACCTGCTAGTTCCAAGTACTTGGATATTGGTGCCTCTTCTGTGTGCTAATTATATTGTTATTAATACATTTTGGTTTTCTTGTTTTTAGTGTATCCTTGATTGAGTGATTTTGAGTATTTCAGGTTTAATTACATAAGGGACTTGGAGGAGCTAGGTTAATAAAGTTTTGAAAATTTGGAGCTAAGTTAACAGATTTTTAAAAATTTACTTATTGCTTTGATTAAATTTCATAAATTTCTCCATGATTAGAGTTGGGTATGGTAGTGATTTGTAATCATAATAAACTTTAGTCTAGAAAATATGATTGACTAATATCTCATGATTTAGTGCAGAAAGAATGGAGTGGTTATATTTCCTTCTTGCATATGTTATAAAGTATATTTGCATATTTAATCCTCAAAATGAATATAATTGTTAAAGGTGCTTATCTCCTGTAGTCTAATTTATACTTGAACTTATCCAAGCAAAATACAGACTGGCCAGGAGGCAAACTATTACTTTTGAATTTATTTTCTTACGGTTAACATTCAGACTTTGAAAATTAACTTTGTGATTTCATACTTAACTTTTAATTGGGGTTATGATGAGTCTTGGTTTAGACATTGATATGTACCAATCCAAGAAGTTAAATCTGCTTTTCAGATTTAATATACTACTTATTTACTCCAGTGTCACATCTCACTAGTAATTTGGGGCTATTAGAATCCTACATTTAATTTTCATTTTTGACTTGTTTTTCCTTCTGACTCTCTTTTGAATATTAAGGACAGGAATGTGTAAGGCACACAGTAAATATTTGCAGTAGTCATTTATTTCTGTGTAACAAGTTTCCTCAAATTTAATGGCTTAAAACATCAAGCATTTAATATTTTGGGTTAGGAATAGTGGTGCAGCACAACTGAGTGCCTTGGCTCAGGGTGTCTCACCTAGCTACAATCGAGGTGTTAGGGCAGCAGTTATCTCCAGGTTTGACTTGGATAGGAACCCTTCCAAGTTCACATGCTGGCTGTTGGAAAGGGATACCAATTTCTTGCCTCATGGGCTTCTCTATAGGATAGCTTACTACGGTGCAGCTGGCTGCCTCAGAGGGAGCAAGTGAGAAAGTAAGAGAGGGTTTTTTTTTTTTTTAATTTTTGTTTATTGCAGTAACATTGATTTACAACATTGTAAAAATTTCAGGTGTACATCATTGTACTTCTATTTCTGCATAGATTACATCATGTTCACCACCAAAACACCAACTAAAACCCATCACCACACACATGTACCGAACCATTCCCTTCACCCCCCTCCCCCCCCGGCAACCACCAATCCAATCTCTGACCCTATGTGTTTGTTTATTGTTGTTATTATCTACTACTTAATGAAGGAAATCATACGGTATTTGACCTTCTCCCTCTGACTTATTTCACTTTGCATTATACCCTCAATGTCCATCCATGTTGTCACAAATGGCTGGATTTCATCGTTTCTTATGGCTGAGTAGTATTCCATTGTGTATATATACCACAGCTTCTTTATCCATTCGTCCCTTGATGGGCACTTAGGTTGCTTCCAAGTCTTGGCTATTGTGAATAACGCTGCAATGAACACAGGAGTGCATGTACCTTTACAAATTGGTGTTTTCAAGTTCTTTGGATAAATACCCAACAGTGGAATAGCTGGATCATATGGTAGTTCTAACCTTGATTTTTTGAGGAATCTCCATACAGTTTTCCATAGTGGCTGCACCAGTTTGCACTCCCACCAGCAGTGTATGAGAGTACCCTTCTCTCCACATCCTCTAAGAGAGGGTTTTGAAGACAGCAGTGACATACCTTTTATAACTTAATTTTGGAAGTGACATCCCAACACGTGTGCTGCTTTTGTTTGTTAGAAGCAAATTGTTAGGTCCAGCCTACACAAAGAGAGGGAATCACACAAGGGTGTGGATACTAAGAGATGAGGACCTTTGGATGCTATCTTAAAGCCTGCCTACCACAGCACTTAATAAATATGTGTATTTAATAAACATGTTATTTTTTCTTCATGGTCAGATTGAACAAAAGGGCTTTGGATTCCATGTAAAAGCCAGTCTTATCTGTGGAAATTTGTCCTGGCATTTGAACAATTACTTTGTGTTTCATTTGGTTTAATTTTAAAATATACTTCTGGACATTTGTAGTACCTGTTTAATTTACTCTAATAGGACAGTTTTGATGAGTCTTGGTTTCCTTTGGGATTTTAATGAATTGAATTTTGTAATGTTTTTATATGAAATAAAAGACAGAAAAGTCCATTAAACAAATTTAC